TCAATATTTGCATGTTGGGAAAACAACGGCAAATTATACCTGTTTTGCCTTCTCTAATACGTTGGTCTTTCGAGATTTGTGCTAACACGCCCGCTGCTTGTTCTCCTCCCATTAACGGATATTCTAGCGTTCGGCCAGGGAATAAAGAAAAACGCGGAGAATAAGCTCGACCACACATCCCTATTGAGATATTCATTCAATTTTTCTTTTTTTTTTTCTAATGTATTAAAATTTTTAAATTGTTATAACAAAAGTACCATAGTTTCCAGCTCCATATGAACCTCCAATTATCACCGTAATTTTCGGTACTTGTGCACATGCTACTGCTGTTACCATTTTAGCACCATTTTTGGCAATACCTCCCGATTCAGCATCTTTACCTACCATAAATCCTACGCCAACAAATTATATTAGTATCACATATTGCATAATGTAAATCAAAATAAAAATAAATACTTTACATACCAGTAATATTTTGCAAAAAAATAAGAGGAATTTTTCTTTGAGCACAAAGTTGCACAAAATGAGCTCCTTTTAAAGCACTTTCTGAGAACAATACACCGTTGTTCGCGACTATTCCAACAGGATAACCGTAAATTTTAGCAAATCCAGTGACTAACGTTTCACCATATTGAGCTTTAAATTCATGAAATTTCGACCCGTCTACAATTCTTGCGATAACTTCCTTTACATCATACGGACGTTTTAGATTCGTCCCAACGATCCCATAGATCTCATCGACCGCGTGCACGGGCAGCTCGATGTTTTTATCAATTTTTACATCCATAGGTGGTTGTAAATTTAAATCTTTCACAATTCTACGCGCAAGATACAAAGCATGCGTATCATCTATCGCATAATGATCGGTTACACCAGACTGTCTAAAATTGGAATCACAACTGTGAGCCTTCACGAAAAGTTGATGTAATATTTAAAACAATTACCGACAATGAAGCGCGGCTCCACCCAAGTCCTCCGCTGAAACCTCTTCACCAGTTGAAGCCCTTACTAATGGTGGGCCAGCAAGAAATATTGTACCTTGATTGCCAACAATAATATTTTCATCAGCCATTGCAGGAACATATGCACCACCTGTAACACAAATATAAATAATAAATCCATGATCATGATTATAATTACAATTACAAATTCATACATAAAATAAAATGTATATAATAGAATGACAAACCTGCTGTGCAGCTTCCCAAGACCACTGCAATTTGGGCTATTCCTTTGGCACTCATGTTTGCTTGATTATAAAAAACTCTGCCAAAATGTATTTTATCAGGAAATACATCAGCCTGTCTGGGTAAATTCGCACCTCCACTATCAACTAGATATATACAAGGTAATCTATTTTCCTCTGCAATTTCCTGAGCTCGTAGATGCTTCTTGACAGAGATAGGATAATATGTACCACCTTTTACAGTAGCATCATTTGCAATTATCATACATTCCATTCTGAAAAGAGAAACTGGTAAAACCTGACTGGTTGAAACCTGACATCTAGTTGAAACATTGATGTTGAAAAACTAAATTATATTAAACTCAATATTTTATTATTTTTTAAAATTACCCTTCCACTCTTCCAATGCCAGTAATAATTCCACCTGCTGGCACTTCTTCCTTATCATACATTTTATAACCTGCCAATTGCGAGAATTCTAAGAAAGGTGAATTTTTATCTAAAAGAGTGTTTATTCGTTCCCGAGGTAAGAGTTTTCCTTTGCTTACATGTCTATCCTTGGCTTTCTGTCCACCACCCTCAACTATCTTCTCTATAGTGTTTTTCAATTGATCAACAAGGTTTTTCATTTGCACATAATTCTCCTGCATATAAAAAAGCAATTTTTTTTTACAATATATATCTATAAATAAACGTATGTTTTCTTCTCATTATGAAATTAAAAAATAAGAAATATATTAATATATCCAAATTTATTCAAGATAAACCAATATTACTCATAATATTCAACAATGATCTACATACATAAGTTTAGATCATAATTTTATTAAATTCCTTAAAAAAAATAGCAGCACGCAAGTGCAATTAAAAAAAAAAAAGAAGAGAAGAAAAACAATGAAATGCGAACAGTTCCTAACCTGATAAACTGGTAAATTGGTGTCCGCCGCACTGCCGATGACAGACGCCTCTTCGTGATAAAATCTCACGAAGGGTCGAAAGTACCTTAATATATAACGTCTTCCGCATAACATCATTAATAAATATCTTTTATCGTTACGAGGAAAGTGATGATTGATACGTTGTACCACGTTGTGATTCGAGGTTATCGAACCCTGGAATTAATGACGCACATGGAAATTCATAACTAGAGTTGCCATGTCAAAATTCTCAAAACTAGAATTTACCGGTTAAAAATCCCGGCTGTACACAATATACATCTTGGATTAACTTCTCCATATTCCGATTACCGTTTTTTTCGTGGAATGTAATATAATTTCTTACTAAAAAAAAAAAGGAAATTATCGAGTCTAACGATTCAGAATATTCAGTTCATTCAGAATATATAAAAAATGAACATAAGTCAAAGCAAAATATTTATAGAAAATTTCTTGATACTCCAGACACAAACCTGAACCATCCTGAAAGACCATCGACAAGACATTATCAAGAATCGTCGATCCCGGACAAATTTACGTGACCATCAAATTGCCCATTGGTTATAGAAACATCATTATTTCTATAATTATTTTCCAATATTAGTGTTACCATTCTTTTAAATATTAACAAAAGTACGATATTTTATTTAAAGGTATAATAAATTATTTTGATATAAAAATAATTTATTAAAATAATCTAATATACATCTTCAATTTACACATTATTGAGAGAGTAACAGATGTTTACATCCACCTTTTACAAATATTATGGACGCTATATGGAATACAACCATAGCATGGAGTAGAACCAAAGATCGAACTACATACGTTATCCGTCGGAAACATCTGTGGACATGGCTACGTAGTTCAAGGGCATGTTTATATATATATATATATATATTATATATATAGGCGCTAGTGGACTGGTACCAACTAAAATGCGAGCGTGACAGGTCTCAGATTTCTCTCTACTGCGACTGACTGCACTGGCTTGCGAAGCTCCCCTACTTTAAAACGTAAGAAATATCATCGTTATCGATGGGCACGCACGCTCTTATATTTAATCCTCTTGCAAAAAGATTTAATTCTTGTAGATTCGACTCGCCGAGGGAATTTTGCGAATATCGTCGCGAATATCGATTCGTCGCGCGTTAGAACGTAGATGCGCCATTTTTTTTTGTACTTTTGCCTTGTCCGGTGTTTCACAATGTTTACATTGATCCTTGAATGCCAGTCTGACATTGATCCTTGAATGTCTCGGGATATTCGTCGTCGAGCTGTTTTTTCTTTCGCTTTAAGAGCATTCTTGCACTTTTAGGAACGTCTTCTCAATTCATTGTTTCATAATAATATATACAATATAACATTCTTTCTTATGATATATGTTTTAAATTGTGGAGTATTGGCTTAACTGGTTCACCTTATATATAAATATAATGTTGACAGAATGCTTAGATTTAACTATTTTTGTGTATTTACATATAATGTTTATTTATAAAAATAAAAGAATATATAGACTTTATGCCTAGAATTGATTTAGTTTGTTACATAAACATAGGACTTTTTACAAGTAATTTTTTATATTGTTTTTTATTAAAAAGGACATTCATTATATTACCTTCATTGTGTATCATACAGATAATCTGTATATTCTTTGGTTCAGGTAAAATATACCACAAATTTTCTTAGAACATGTTACACCAATTAATTGTTATGTGTTCACTAAATGTAATTAAGTTAATGATTGAAAAACTGCATTTGGCAATCCATGAACAATCAAAAGAAAAATTATATACTAAAGATATTATCTTATTGCATGCTATTGAACCTTATATTTATTAATATTTGATTTATTATTATTATTTATTCAAATATATATATGTTTATACATACAGGATCATCTTTCTTTCTATATTCTCCATGTCAGGCGTGTTATGATTTCGGGAAGATGCAGTTTGTTATCAATCGTTCGTCGCTTATCTGAGAAATCTAAGCAACAGTGCTGTACAGAAGCGCAGAAGAACGGATGTAGCAAAAGGTCTCATCTCACTGAAAGTGCTGTTGCTAGACATATCAGGTATTTATATATAATTATTATATTATGTTTATTATATTGTGTTTATATCATATTTCATAATTTGATAAAGATTTTTATTTATTTCTTAAGATTATATTTTGAAAGCTTTTATAAACTATCTTACATTAAGAAATAAAAGTTAAAGTGTATGCAATATTTTGTACAATCATTAAATGTTTAATATGTTTTAAAATTGACCAAAATTAAATTTTTTATTAAACTTTAATTTTAGTTGATAGTTTCAAAAAATTTTATATTAATATTAAAAAAATACTAAGTGTGTAAACTTTAAGAATAATTTTGAAATTTAAAAATTATTACTGAAATATATTTGAAAAATAGAAACAGGGCAAATCACAATACCGCGCTTTTCCTATCATCATTTGTCAGAATGGCATCAACATCTCAGGATAGTGACAAAAATATCGACTGTTCTGAAGCGAAGAAGAATTGGTTGAGCTTGGAAAAATCACCATATCTATTACAACATGCGACCAATCCTGTGGAATGGTATCCTTGGGGTGACAAAGCTCTGGAAAGGGCAAAAAAGGAGAACAAAATCATTTTTGTGTCTATTGGTTACTCTACGTGTCATTGGTGTCATGTGATGGAGAGAGAATCATTCAAGGATAAAAAAGTTGCAAAAGCTATGAATGAAAACTACATTAATATCAAAGTGGATAGAGAGGAAAGGCCCGATATTGATTCAATGTGCATGATGTTCATTCAGGCAAGTGTTTAATTTGATTTTTTTATATTACGTGAAAATAGAAAATTTCAGATTGCTTATTAATTCTCTAACATTTTAATAAATAATAAATGCAATATATTATTTAAAAATATATTCATAATTATGTTGAATTTATTAAATGTATTGACGAAGTTTGCATTTAATAGAGATTTACAGGCCATGGTGGTTGGCCACTGAATGTTTTTCTGACGCCAGATTTGATGCCGATAATAGGCGGAACATACATCCCTCGTGAAACGTTTTTGACATACTTAACACGAATTGCAAAAGAGGTATATGCATATAATATGATACTTTCATTCGTTATAAATATGTTTAATTTATATTTTAAATTTGTATTTACCATGTGCGCGCGAATTTTGCTTTATTTTTGTTTTGTGGAATGACATTAGGTTTGCATATGATACTTTCTTTTTATTCTAGTGGACACAGCAAAAAGATAAAATGATTAAATCTGCTAATGTTATAACAGAGAGTTTGAATGGATTGGTCAAGACTAAACCTAAGACGAAAGTGAGCGAGCGATATTTAAAGATTTGGAGAAAAACCATTTCAACATCGTATTTTGTGCTCATTAATTTTTGTGATGCAGGATGATGGACTTCCCCCTCTTGAGAGCGTTTTATTGTGTGCTCATATGTTGATGGACATGTACGATTCGGAAAATGGTGGATTTAGCTCATCTGCCATGAGCATAAATTCCCCAAAATTCCCCGAACCAACCAACCTAAATTTTGTTTTGAGTATGCATGTTTTAAGTAACTCTTCTGCATTGAGTGAAATGACTTTGGAAGCAGGTCTGCATACTTTGAAAAAAATGTCTTACGGTGGAATTCACGATCATGTAGGGCAAGTAAGATTCGATTTGTTCATTTTTATCCTTATGAATCGCGCGAAATAAATTATTTAAATTATTTTAAATAAATTATTTTTCAGGGATTTCACCGATACTCGGTGGACACTCAATGGGCTGTTCCGCACTTTGAGAAAATGCTCTATGATCAAGCTCAATTAATACAATGCTATGCTAACGCGTACGTCATCACGAAAGATTCCTTCTTTTCTAATATTGTGGACGATATCGCGACGTATGTTACACGTGATCTACGACACAAGGTATTACATACATTGCTGCTTCATTTATTCTTCTCACATTTATTCCTATCACATTTGAACGTGTGTTTTAAGACCTGTTTTTTTTAGCTGAATTTTTTGCATTGTTCATTTTCACTCTTTTTTTCTTTAAATTCAAGAGAAAAAGAGAAAAGATAAACTATGTAAGAAGTTCAGTTAAAAAGAACAGGCTTTTAGATACAATGCTTATTCTAACTTACAAGAAATATTTTTCCTCACTTAGACTTATTGAAATCAAAGTCGTACAGAGCGACAAACATGTGGGAAGATATAAAATATTTACAGCATGTACATTATTCAGGAAGGTGGTTTCTACAGTGCAGAGGATGCGGACTCGCTACCCACGTGGGATGCCTCAGCGAAACAAGAAGGCGCGTTTTACGTTTGGACTTATGACAATCTTAAGGCCCTTTTAAACAAGAAAGTACCTGGTAAGGACAATGTTACATATTTTGACCTTATCTGTCGACGCTTCTCGGTGCAGAAGGCGGGAAATGTAAGAAAGGAACAAGTACGTTTTGCAGTCGAAACCGTAAAATAAAAAATATTTATAAAACAAAATTTGTAAATGCATTTGCTTCACAATACAGGATCATCATGGCGAGCTTAAAGGCAAGAATGTATTATCATCCAAATTGGGAGTGGAAGATACCGCTAGCCATTTTAACTTCACTGAAGAGGAGACAGAGAAATATATTAAAGAAGCCTGTCAAATATTATTCGAAGAAAGATCGAAAAGACCGCGGCCTCAGTTGGATGACAAGATCATCACAGCGTGGAACGGTATTAAAATTGTGAAATAATAAATAACGTATTGTCATTCACGACAAATTTCATGAGGCGCAACGAATCTAACATTCCATTCACTAATTCATTTATAGGTCTTATGATAAGTGGTTTTGCGCGTGCTGGAATAGCTCTAAAAAATGAAAAGTACGTTGAATTAGCGACGGACGCTGCCAGATTCGTGGAGCGATATCTATTTGATAAAGATAAACGCCAACTATTTCGCAGTTGCTACCGCGGAAAGGACGACGAAATTGTACAGGGGTAAGTATCGTCTCATCTCTGTGCCAGCATCATAATGTAATATCTATGATACAATTCGTAGGAATGTTCCGATATACGGTTTTCATGACGATTACGCATTTCTCACGAAAGGATTACTCGATTTATATGAGGCTAATTTCGACTCGCATTGGATCGAGTTTGCCAATGAGTTGCAAGATATTCAAGACAAGTTGTTCTGGGACTCGCAGAACGGTGGTTATTTCAGCACGACTGGAGAAGGTCCAACAATACTTACGCGAATGAAAGATTGTACGTTTGATCTTATGAGATAATTATTTTAGTTTAGCCATGTCACAAGACACAATAAGAAACAAAAAAATTAAAAATAAAAAATTAGGAATAAAGAATTAAATTTCGATATATAAAAATTTATATTTCAATATAGAATCAAGAAATATCGCGATATTCTTTCATTGGCCGAAAATAATTTTCTCTATTTCTAATTCTATATTCTATTTATGTCTTATTTCCGATTGAATCTGAGCCGTAACTATGGCGTGTTAATTACGTCAAGTAACGTAAAAATTAAACAAAATTATATCCTATCTATATTGAATGTTTTATTATAGTCTTATCATGTACATCTTCACCATAATTTAATAAACATCTAATATTTTTGTTATAGCTGATGATGGCGCAGAGCCATCCGGTAATTCAATCGCATGCTCCAATATGTTGCGGCTAGCAATCTGTTTAGATCGCGACGATCTTAGGAATAAAGCTGAGAAACTTCTGATCGCGTTTCGCAACAAAATTATGAACTTCCCGATTGTTTCTCCACAAATGCTGTTATCATTGATCGAGTATCATCACTCGATGCAAGTGCGTATTTCTATTTTTCAGTTGCTATTAACAATAAAGTTGTCACAAGGTTGTAGATGCTCTCGATACATTTCTAAAATGGTTTGTTCTTTTCAGATTTATGTAACAGGGAAAGTGGACGCTAAAGAAACGATGGAAATGTTAAATTTAATCCGCGAACGTATGATACCTGGTAGTGTACTTATATTAACCGATCCTGAACAGCGGGATAACATATTGTTCCATAAGAATTCTGTTATTAGTAAAATAAAACCGGCGAAGAACGCGATGGTCCACATATGCCGTGGTCAGGAGTGCTCTCTGCCCATTTCAAGCATTAAACATCTTATTTCCGAGTTAAACAAAATAAAAATTGCCGATTTATAAACAGCAGGATTATACGCGTTACCATCTACTTTGCAACGCGCATTTATTGCACGTCAAAGGAGTTAAAATATTCTGTAATATATCTTGGCACACTATGTAAAATGATTTTCTGTGTTAAATAATATAATATTAGTTCGTAGATTAGTGTACTTAGTCATAATATAAATACAAACGGATCGGTTCAACAAACAGGTGTATAGATATTCATAATGAGGAGCAAAGATTCTATTTGATTTCTAAGAAGATGTATCAAAAAGGTATCAAAAAAATATATTTGAAAATCAATAGGGATCGTATAAATTGTATTTATGTATTTAAATGCGAAGTTACAAATCTAATGCGAGAATTTTACTGATGTTTAGTATTCTGTAATGTTGTCATTATAATAAATGATCAAATATAAGAATTTGAGAACAGTTTTAAGATTTCTGAATGAATTGATAAAATTTAGATAGAAAATTTTAATATAAAACTATGTTGGGTTTATATTTATTAGTTTCATCTTTTTTTTTTTTTAATAAATTTTGCAGCTATGATTTGAACTTGGTCAACAATTTTCTACCGTCAAAATTGTTTGCATCATCCAAAAATTATTTAAGACGTTTGGGAAAACATGTGCATTATCGCAGTCGTATTGAAGATACTCGTGTTCTGCTGCAATATAAATATAAATCAACTTGATACTTGAAGCTAACGGTATTCTGTTATCATCCGTCGAAAATACAGTATATTTACTGCTAACGTCAACAAAAATGGCGCTTCTATATACGAGGTACGTCAAGATTTGATATCATTAAATTGTTTTTATATTATTGTTTTTTGTCTGAAATAAAAACATTGTTCCGTTCTTTTTAGACTTCTCTGCCGACGTAATGTTGATTTTCGACATTTTCGAAACATATACACCTGTAGGTGAGTCCTTACGTAACGCATAACCTTACATTTACATAACTGTCACATCAAAAATACTAAATTTATATAAATTTTCATGATTACATGTCACATATTAAGCACAATATCATTTATTTACCATGGCTGCAAAAATTCTTACATTTTAAAAAAAATTTTACCTTTTTGTTAATTATATTTTCTAATTATTTTATTAAAATATATATTTTAGCTCTCTCAGCACCACGGTGTCGAAACCATTGCTTTCACACACAACATGTGAGTCCTATGATGAAAAAAATATGCGTCTGAAGAGACCATTATCACCACATTTGACCATCTATGAATATCAGTTAACAGCGGTGCTCTCAATAACACATCGCACTACTGGTATTATATTAGCCAGTTATGCGATGTTCCTTGGGTTAGGTAAAATATTTATGATCTAAATTACTTTCAGTTGAATTTATTCGATTATATTTTTGAAAGAATATAAAAAATATATATATATTTTTTTTATTTCATTTATATATATATATATATATATATAACATATATATATATATATATATATATATATATATAAAACATGTGAAAGTATTAAAATCTAAAAAACAGAATATAGGAAAGTAGTAATTTTTTTTTAAAGTGATTCAGAAGTTGCATTGGTAACTATTATGTTCTATATTCTGCTTGCAATATTCTGCTTTTCCATTAATACAAGTATATTCAAATTAAATATTTTTATAATTCATGTTTCAGGCACATTGTTTATACCAGGTGGTATCCCCTGTTTCATAGAAACTATGAATAATTTATGTTTACCCATGCCTGTATTATTTGCTGGCAAAACCCTACTTGCTCTGCCTGCTACTTTTCATATATTTGCTGGAATGCGTCATCTTGTATGTAATAATTGAAATATATTTATTTTATTATTGAAATTGTGAAAAGTATAATTTTATAATAAGTATAATCTTATTTAAAAAATCGAGACAATCTTGTATTTTATAAAATTATACTTATGAATTGACATCATATGAATTATATTTCTATAAATTTGCAGACTTGGGATTCTGGAATGTTTCTATCAATTAAGGAAGTGTATCTCACTGGATATGCCGTAACTGCATTATCAGTGATTTCCGCACTTGTTCTTGCGACAATGTAAATGCATTATACATCCATCAGGAAATGATTCTTCTTTCAAATTAGTTGTATTATCAGATTATATTATGTTTACATTGATATTGTCTTATGTACTGAATTATTGTATTGATTACAGAATAAAATAATTTATTAAAATTAATATTTTTTTTCATACACATACTCTACATCAGTTTAGAACTATGTGTATTCGGCATAGATTATAATGTTTATATTAGTAGAAAAATAGTACATTAGTCGTAAGTTGAATTAAGACATGTAATAATTAAAATTAGGAAAAAAAACGTGAATTTTTTTTAGCACAATTGTAATATATATAAAAAAAATAAAAACATTTAAAATTGCGGAAATCTTTACATTAAATATATATTCATTTATTTCATTTCATTTATACATTATATTATTCAGATATTTAGCAAGACATATATTGAAGACGTTTATTAAAATATGATCTTTAAAACTTAATTAGTTTGTTATAGTGTAACATAACTGTTTTATCAAAAATGTAAAAAAATAGATATTTTAAATAAAATTAATTTTTATACAAAACCATCCAAGGATGATTCCAAATATTTCTTGTAAATTACCATAAACCGTGCAGCAAAAGCTTCCAAATGAAAAATGGGTTTCGAACCCTGTAACATTTTATGCTGATATTCTGACGCGACATCAATAATTTCTCTTTTCACCTGATCATCACAATTCTTTATGCATTCTTGAAGCAATCCTCTAAAGATTAGATCATACGGTATAGCACGTGTCAATAAGTCATAAAATCTGTTGCGTATGTTTAAAAGTACTTTAGGGGATTGTTCTTTTACCATCATACTGGCTGTTTGTCGTATGTATGTTTGCCAATCCGGTTCTGTTACTTTTTGATCGGCCGTAAACGGATATCTATAAAATAAAAAAAAGTATGATCTTTAAAACTTAAATAAAAGATGGTAAAAACTTAAAAAATAAAAGATTCACTTTCATATATATATATATATATATATATATATATTTATATGCATCGTTACTCACTGCTCAACTTTGCAAGCTTCGAGCATTAATATCGCTCGTCGAAGATTTCGATCGCTAGCTTCAATCAATCGATCGGCTAATTCGTCGGGCATGGTAAGTCCTTCGCGCTTGCAAATAGAGTGTAAGATACTTTTGATCTCAGAGGCAGTTGGCGCGGGGACTCTGATTCGTACACATCGCGATCGTATTGCGGGCAAAACTCGCGACGTTGAATTTGCACAAAGAATTAATCTGCATGTACCGATGTATTTCTCCATCGTTCTGCGAAGCGCATGCTGTGCATCTTTCGTAAGTTGATCCACGTTCGACAGTAGCACCACTATTTATGTAATATTATAATCTTAAGTTTTATATTTTTTATCAAATTATTTATAACACATTATAGAGTGACAAATGTTTTAGTAAAAAGAACATTTAGGAAACATTTCATACATGAATATATAATTGAAAAATAATCATCAAATATTTATTAATTATTAAGCTTTGAAATTGAATTTAAGATATATTTATTTATTCTAAGTATATCGAAATTTCTTTGTATATATTAAAGTATATTTGTCACCCTATAGAATAGAAAATATTTGAACGTAAATTTTGTTTTAATACCTTTAAATTCTTTCTGGCCTATATCTATATGATGTGTTTGTGCAGTCGCTTTTATTAATTCCATGACAACAATTCTATCATATATACCTGCATCGCTGGGATTTACTTCTGTATGATAATTACTGTTTATTGTCATTATTTCTATTTTCTTTTTAGATGGTGTCTGAAAAAAATCATTTTTCATATAATATTGAAAAAATTAAAATATATTATTTTAATATCTTATATATAGTTTCTATATAATCTGTACAATACTGAAACAATCATAGTTGTCATCTTCAAATTAGTGCTCTACAGAAATTAGTTTCCAAAAAAGAAAAAAAAAAGTGGAAATCCTGAGTACAACAATTAGCTCCATTCATTGGCACATTCAATATCTTGTATATTGTGTAAAATATAAAGTAAAATATATAAAAAATAAAATTTATTGCTAAAAAAAATCAGAGAAAACATCAATTTTGTCATTTCCGCACTAACGTTTACTTCTTAATAATCATTAAAATTCCAAATGACAGATTGTTTTCTCTTGGAGCACTGAAGATTCCAAACAATTAGAATTTCTAACCTTCTTCTTAAATCAAGCTATGTTGACAACCATGTATTCAAATTATTCTGATAATAAAAGTATAATTTTGTAGTATTAAGACAAGAGAAAATTACCTCAAATTGCATGGTCTCTGTTTTCAGTCTCTCAGCCGCAACTCCATAAAGTTCCTTTAAAATACATAATATTCGAGTTTTCTTTCCTGCGCCAGGAGGTCCATGTATCAATAAATGTGGAAAATCTCGTTTCTGTACCTATTTCAAGTAAAAATATATCAACTCAATATAATCCTCGTGTTTCTAAAATATATGAATAAATTTCAATTTATATTAAAAAGAATTTTTTGTTCCCATTTTTATATTGTTATATTGTTTATATTCTCATCATAATAAATATAAAGCTGACATAATTTCCTTTTATTGATATCTATTTAGCAATGTAATACATACATTTAAAAAAAAAATTATGCTTATCAATTATCAAGTAATTCTATTTCACGAAAAAATTCGAGAGATATATTATTGCTCCTATTTTGGCGCGCTTTTAAAGCCGGTTAACCTCTCATTCTCAATGTTTTAATAGATTACTTCAGTATTGCAATGTATTACCATATTTCTCAAGTCCTCTGCTTGCTCGAGATGGTAATCCAACTTCGCGAATGTTGTTGGACGATATTTGTCAACCCATAAACTCATTTTGTCTAAGCAAATCTATTACAAACGTCAAACGTCAGTCCAAAAATTACT